TAAAGAAAAAGAGCTACAGTGGTTCTTTAAAAGAACCATCTGAATGTGGAACGACCAAGCCAGCAAGAAAAATTAGATTTATTGTTTATCTAACTAACATAAATCTTATAAATTTTAATAGTGAGGCTGTAACACGCTTGAGGCCCACATGGGAGATGAAAGTAGGGAAAAGGTTTCATGGAAAGGCAGCAAGGAGAAATCTGTTTTTTTAATTAGGAAACCAGAAGAGATGCAAGGAGGACTGTAACATTAACATCTGCCACAGTCTGCACTGCTACAGCAGAGAATGGGTAGTTGTGTCTGTCTCAAACAACTGTCAGCAGCGTCCAAGCCACATGACAAACTTCCTAACTCCAACATCCCCAAGCACAGGAGTACACGTTCACGCTGAGAAAAAGGCACGAGGGGCGCAGGATTGCTCCAAACACATGACTTCATGGTGAAAATGTGAGTCTGAAAACTTCTGCTGGTAGTGCAAATGTGAATCCCATCACCAGGACCCTGCACAGAGAAGAAAAGTGGTGGCAGCAAGATCTGTCCGCATCACCTTAGTGAAGCGGGAGAATATTTTCCCTGTCTTGAAGAACCGAGGCAAACAGGCTTTTAGACAGGAGTCTGCAAGAGAAGCAATGGATCGAGCCTAGGTATCTTAAAACACAACCCTGTAGCCCAGCCATGCACCCCTAGATTATGCCTCCTCTACCTGCAAATTTCCCCAAGTCTCATTTTGAACAAAAACTAGGATTTAAAAAAAATTATTACTGATTACACGAAACAGCTATGATTGTAACATGCATATCAAACTTAGTAAGGTTGGGTTTTGTTGCTTTCTCCCTCGCATTAAACCTGAACAGGACTGCTGTCATTTTTAGGTTCACAAACCAGAGCAGACATGGGAGCTGTTTTTCCTCCTGCCAGTGGGTGTCTTTTCTTTAGCACTAAAGCAAGCACAAGGCTGCAGATTTATCTGAAAAACATATGAGTGGCATTTCAGCTGAACTGGTCATAAGGTTTCAGAATGAACACCTCTGCTTTTTTAGATAGGTTGCTAAAAAGAGATCATTTCAGGCACTCTGCAGACTCTGGAAGACATTGACCTTTCTTTCCTTGGACTCAATTCACATTTTTCACTTCATGGTCATGTGGGATTATTATCTGTAATTCAAAGTAAAATTGTAGATTAAGGAAAAAATTTTGCATGAGAGCTAAACTATAATGGCAAATTCTGTGGCTGAGGAACTACAGAATATATGCAGTCCTTATTAAACGTTATTTCTGAAACGCATGTTAATTAAAGAAGGCTGAAGATGCAGGCTGGATGGATGGAGACAAACAGAACAATCTCAGACTGCTGCAAAGACAGTGTTTCCCCCAGTGGAGACAGATGGATGGCTAGTCTTACTCAGATTGCATCTCTTGAGAGGACGATTTATAATGTACAAGACAGGAGAAATTTATTTGCTAACATATGGAAAACATTTATGGGCTCTACTGAGGATCTGGAATTAAAGAAACACAACTACATACTGTTAAAACTTCTAAATGGCGATTTCATTTAAGAAATAAGCATATTCCCCTCAAGTCAATGACATTTACTTCTATATACTTTTGTCTTCTGCCCTGTTAAGGCATGAATTTCAGAACAGAGGGTTATATCGATTCATATAGTTGTTGTAGGTCTAATCCACTGAACAATCATTAGATGGCAAAGTCTTGTTTTGAAAGATACAACCCATGCTTCAGAACAACGGGTGGGGAGCATACACCATAGGGATGGGGCAAGGTACTGCTGCTCAAGTTTTGGTCTTGGCACTGCAAGTTAACAGCAATGGGAGGAGATGAGGCTACAGACACCAGCCATCTTCCCAAGGAAATGCTCAGGTATCCACAGCTGCAGATAATTCACCTCCTTAAAAACAAAAAACCCCACCTTCTGGTACAAGTAAATGATCCTCCATTAAGCCACACAAGATCATAGCCTGAGGGAGAGCTCTACCTCTGGGGCAAACCTTCTCTTCCCCATGTAAATAACTTGCTGGATGCCCGCAAGGGTTGCGTGCTGGCTGACGAATAAACAAAAGTTGCATGCAGTCATCGTCCCACAGAGCAGTATTGAAGCTAACAGGATCAGGGACAGTATAAAAGCCCTGTGTCAATCAATATCTGACAGCCATACCAGGGTCAGTGCTTATAAGTAAGGAGGCTGGTTGTTTTAAAGCCAGTACCATTACATTGGTGCAAACATCAGTGCTGATGTGCGAGACAAAGTTGGGGTGGCTGTCTGCAAAATGACATAACAAATGTGAAGTTTCGGACCTCTGTAGTTGAAGAGATTGAAACATCTTCAAGGAGAGGCAGGACTTCGGGCCAAATATTTGAGGCAGCAGTGTAGCAGCAATGGCTGGGATTTTCAGAGATGGGTAAATGACTGATTAAATGACTCAATCATGCAGATGCTTTTGAAAATTCTGCCGCACGCAGTTAAGTTTATTCATGCATGTGTGGGTGAGGGGGAGGACTGTGAAGATTTTAATAACTACCTTAGGAAATAAAAAAGAACAAATGTACTTTCTCTTTAAAACAGAGCAAAAAAAACCCCAAACCCCAAAAATCCACTGCTGTGGCTGGGGAAAAGAGTTTACAGGAAAGTTGTAAAGAAGTTTTGTGTGCAAGGATGACCGAATGGACTATGATACACAAGTCAAAAAGTGTCAAGAAAGAATGAAACAGAAAGGTAAAAATAAAACATATCACAGCCCTATCAATTTCTTCCAGTTTAAAACCCCTCCATGCTTCAGTCTCTTATTTCTGGCTTACGCAGACTTCATACTCCACCATCACCTACCAGATAAATGGGAAGTTGAGAGCTTCAAAGAGCTTAAGGACTGCAGGAAAAGCAGAGACTTCATCCTGGGAAAGTAAAGAAGAAATATTGGGGAAAAAGATGCTCCCAAAGCCTGATTTTTGGAGTTCAACACAGCTGCACTGATGTGACAGCTTGACTAACAGCACCATGTGAGTTACTATCATTGGTGAAGTCCCTCTCACGCTCTGGAGATCACACAACATGCAGTGAGAGCTGCCAGGCAGGGCACAACTCGAAGTGTGAACATCCCCCTGGATCCCAACAAGGTGCTGACCGCAGCTGAGGTTTCCCTCCTTGCTAATCCTATCAAGTAGCTTGTTCCTCCGTCTCCATGAAGCATCCTACCCATAAATATCTGCACAGCAGGGGGTTATCTGTCACCTCCTTGGGGTCAAGTAGGGGGGAAAAATTCTCACAGTTTTGGCTCTTCTTCGCTTTAAATGCAGGAGTTTGGGTGATTCTGATGCAGCTGGAGCACCATTCATCCAACTTTCCCAATGTAAAGCAAGACCTCCTTAAAGGCAACAACTTAAAAAAAGCACCCTACGAGTTTAAAAATCAACACTCAACCACAAGACTGAGCTTGTGGAGAAATTCAGGAGCGCTCCCAGGTCACTAAACGTCAGCTGGTTGGATTTAGAAAAAAGTCTTTCCTATTTCCACAGGCTACTTTTCACTGCTTTAACACTATTTCCACATCTTACCCAGTGAGAGCTGGTACACACCCACCCAAGGCACATTTCAACAGTGACCCCTTTCTGACGAGCTCAGAAGAGCCACACGCACACCCAGCACAACCACCCATCCCCAGCAGAGCACGGCTCACCCAGCAACTTTGGGGACAGAACAGTACAAATCAGTAAACTGCTCTGGCTCCAGCGGTGCCTCCCCCCAGTCCATTCCATTCCAGTGCCTATAAATCACTCTTGGCAGGTAGTTGGGAAGCAGCTGCTAATGATAGCTTTGCTGTGGAGTGCAGGAAGTCACCTTTTAACCCTGCCTGCTGTTGTTTGTCTCCCGGAGCTGTGACAAAAGGACAGATGTGGACAGCATGCCAGCCGACAGTAGGATCTGGCCAAAACGCAGCAGGGAACCTGCCCTGGTCCCTTACCACCAAAACATCACCCTCAAAAACACCTTTTGGCTTCGGGTGCTTCCCAGTGCCCATCTTCAAAATGTCAGTCCTCAGTTTTCCCTCATTCACCCTAAAGATGCTGGGAAGCATCCCAAAGGCTACTTTAATTCAGTTTGTGGCTGCTGCACTGAGGACATTTCATGTTCCACTCTCCTGCCATCCAGTCCCCACCTGTGCCATGGGACAAGGAGGGCATTTATAACATAACTAATGCACATACACGTGTGCGTGGGGGTTTGCGATCGGAGCTGAGCAAATAAATTTAATAGACAAAGTATTCGATGTGAGTGTCTTGTTTTCAGCTCATGGAATATCCATGATCGGATTACGATTTCTTCCAACGTAATTTTTTTTTAATTTTCCCTTCTTTTAAAGTATGCAAGCGTAGCTGGGACAGTAGTTTCTTCTGTTTCAGAAAAGCTCCAAAACACATATTGACATTACCACAAACTAAATACGAGCAACTCACTCCTACTTAAGTCACCACTAGTTAGGCAGATGGCATGCTACTGTACCTTCCTCCAGTTGAAAAACACTTGCTTGAACGTTCTACATTTCATGCATAGGTGAAACACCTTTTAAGTTGGCTTTTGTTAACTGCAGTTCAAAATCTTATATCCTTGAGTATGTACCCGAGTAGCAGCCACCTATTTGAGTTTGTGGGAAGCTGCTCAAGGACAGAGAGAGGTATTAAGAGAAGTGTGCAACACTCAGACTAAGCCACAGGAAATTTGAGGGAGATTATTTCCTCACTTCTAGCCCTGACAACACCTGCTCTGCCATGCTTTTCATGTGGCGACAGGAGGCCATCAGAAACCCTACCCATTCTGTAGAGGATATACTTCCATCAAATAAAACACATCCACTGGCCAAACACCATGACAGCTGGAAGCCAACCCCAAGGCATAAAAAGAAAAATCCTTTCCAACTTGACCATGTAAACCAGAGCATAATAATAATAATTCAAAGGGAGAATGACCTCGGGTGACATGTACTTACAGTGAAGACATCATCATCGCCGACCTCAGCCTCGTTGTGAAGTGTCGACGAGGAAGTCGTTGACCCTAGGAAATAAAATAACAGCTTTTTCAACACATGACATTTATATTTAACTTTTTTTATTAGGCTGGCAAACATTTGGATTCTCACAAGTTTGTATGTTGTAGATGTGTAAAAGAGGGGATTAAATTAAGGAAGAAAAAGCCATCTACTTGAAGCTGGGTTGGAAAGGTAAAATCTGAAAGTGTTTCTTGACACAGAACCACATGGCTGCCAATGCTAATTAACTATGTTAAAAATAGCAGTTACCATTTCCAATTACAGAAGGCTTTCATTTCTGAAGAACGGTAAAGCTATGTACTAATCAGTGCTCAAAACTAGATCTTCAGCTGTCAAGAAAGCATATACGAGTTATTCTTCACATGTTCCCTAGATCTCGGGAGAAAATGACTTTAAACCCTCATTTTGACAATGAATAGTTAGACTGGGTTTCTTCTAATTTTGGAAGTTGTTATACATTGTAAAGGTCTTCTCTGTTATCAGCTATTTCTCAGAGAACCACCTTGCCCCACGTAAGCAAAGTATTTGAATGGAGCTGAAATGTGTAAAACCATAGACAAGAGCAAAATACTGGGGTGCAGTTCTCACTTAATACATGCAAATCATCTAGAAAAGTGGGAAATCACATTAAAAAAGCCTTCCTCCAACCTCTTTCCGTGTCCTGGAGGGGTTCCCCTCCGGAGATGTTCAAGAGCCTGGTCAGCACCCACATCACAGAAGGGCAGTGGGGAGGGCGGCACACGCCATTGCTTAACGTGGTAGTAAATTTAAGCTGTGGCTAAAAGGGGGTGACCCCTCTCCTTAGCCCTGGTCAAGAATCCTGACCCCCTTCCCAGCTGGCTTCACCCCCCATGAAGCTGCCAAGGAGGGTGGGTGCAGCAAGATGCTCTGATGGGGGGAGAAACACCAAGTCAAAGTCATTTTTTTGATGTAAGCCCACTGTTATACTGAATTAGGGCCACATCACATCCCTAACTAAAATAGTTGAACAGTTTGTACCACCTTCATTCTGGAATTTTTTTTAAAATAATGTGCTTTATATAATGCTATCCACACCAGCCTTGGCTGCTCTCAGTTGCATCATCACAAAGATGTGCAGAGCTAAGTGTGAAAGCCCACTTAAAACACTAAGTAACGTGAAAACATTTGTGCCATTTGCTACATTAGCTTTAAAAGTAAAAAATCCAGACGCTCTACAGAGCTGTACAGGATTATTGTACTTGTGCACAAAACTTCTATGCTTCTGATGCTACAGGGAACAAACTACCAGTTAAATAATAATTATAAAGCAACAATTTCATGAAGTGACGTTTCAAACACACATGGTTTGCTGTCTTTAATATTACCTGCTAAATTTGATCAACCACATGAATAAAAAATGAGCAATAAATGAAATTCACTGTCCGACACTGTGTGCACGAGCCAGTTCTTGTTTTTCATTCAGAAAGCCTTATTTGGAAGTTAAGGAGGAACACATTCATGAGGATCAGTCTGTGCTGTTAATGGGATAAATATAGATTTGCTGATTTTGAAGTATCTGAGATCCAGCAGAACTCGATTTTAAATACCTCCACTGTAAAATGGATCAGAAAGAGCAGAGTAGGAATTGCCACATACCAGCATCTTCAACATACTACTCAGTATAGCTGTTATCACCTCCTTGAAACTTTGCACAATCCCATGCCACTTACATAAAACATCACATTTATGATTCAAAACGCTTCCCAGTTTTAGCAAGCAAGAAAAAAGTGGAAGGCCTAGCTGTAACTTCTTCACATTAATGGCACAGCAAAAAGCCAGTGAATAAAGTAGTTGAGAAGATCCTTCCTCTAACTGATGAGGTATTTACCAGGACAGAGCCCTGGGGGATTAATTCTCTCCCAGTATCTACCATTTCCATGTTAAAGCAAGGACAGGGCATCCAGAACATTAAGCTTTCTTATGGAGCTAATGTCCTCAAAAAGATCCTGAAAAAATAATGTCATTTGTATACAAAAAATATCCCAGTCACACTGGGGGAGAGGGAGGAGGAAGGCTTTAGACCAAAAAAAAAAAAAAAAAAAAAAAATCAAGTAAAACTCCCATGAAGAATCAAATTTCATTAGAAGTACTGAATTATAGCTGAATTATGATTGCCTGATTGCAATGAAATGTGAAAAGGAAAAATTTCTGACAACTTCAAAGCATAGGCAATTCAAACGCATTTTTTACAGAAATAAAAAAAACAAGAACACAACGAAGTCTTCAAGAACTACCATTCAACTAAGAGGATGCAGACAAAACTAATTACTGCAAAAAAACCAAAAACAAAACAAAGTTTTATTCAACTCCAGGCAGGAATTCATATTGTGATTTAACAAAGACTCAGTAAGACGAGATTCGGCTACATATAAAAAGCCTGGGCTGTTTGAGTTGCCTTCGCTAGTGTGAAAGCCAAGTCTATCAAAAAAAGCAGTATTAACAGACTTGATAATAATTAAGGGGGAAAGTCTGGACAAAGCAGGTCAGAGAGGACTGGAAAATACTTGCATTGAAATCCCTTCTCTCCTTAAGGGATGAGACAACTCAATTCTTGAATGTAAGCTGGGGCTTGCTCAGCATAGAGTAAGTGCTGGCTACACTAGAACACGTGCACAAGAGATGTCCAAGCCCAAGAACTGATTTTACACCCATCCCTCTTCCCAGCTCCGTGACTCAAAGCCCCTTCCCCACTCTTCCAGGGGTTGAAGTGGCCGCTACTATGTGCCGTGGTACCTTCAATGAGGTCCTCAATGGCTTTTCTCACTCCTCTGTCGAAGGCTCGAGCGTCAGCGGGGCTTTGAAAAGTGAGCCCGAATTTTCTGTTGTCGACTTTCCAGTGGTGGAAGGTGGGGTTCGCCTTTGTGTACACCAGGTCCTTCTTCACAAAGCACTCCAGCACCACCTGGGAGGGCATGAGCCCCAAAAGAGGAGCAAAGTCACTTTTCCTGCCCCAAGGACATAGTCGGTACCATCAAGCAAGCCGAATCACCTCACGCAGGTGCATATCCTTCCCTACCAAACGATGACTAATAAACACCAGACACTGTAAATGTTCTCATAACCACTGCACATTCATCCTTTTCTTGCGCTCTGAGTAGGTGCTTGCTCCCTATCCCAGGAGCCTATTTCAGGCCCAACATGGCACAGGTGACAGCTAGCAGGGGCTCAGGTGGAGGAAGAACCTCTTCTCTCAATAATTTCACTCAACAGAAATTTTATCTGCCAGAAGCAGATTTAGGAGGTGCTCTAACACTCCCCTCACCCTTTTTTCCTCCCTCATCCCCAGCCAGGCAGTCATCTCAAGCTCTGCTGTGCCAAAAACCATCTCTAGGGTGATGCTCAGGGAGAACAGGAATGGCTTGTTAGTCTTACTCTGTCCTCCAAAACCATAAGCATGGCTCCCAAACAGTATCCTAAGCAAAATAGTATTGCAACAGACAAACCATACGTGAAACAGCTTTAAAAAGGCAGTCTTTTTGAAAGGAAGATCATTTCTGACTCAAATAATGCAATTTTTTTTCCCCAAGCACTGAGTTTGCAGAGCCTGTGCAGGGAGTGTTTGTTTTCAAGTTAGCCCATCTCTTCACAGGAGCAAATTTCAGAAGAATCTAATATATAGAAACAAGATAACGAATTATAACATCTAAAATGGACCCTGGAAATATGGAAAAGGCTTTACTAATTTGATATGTGTGAGGAAAGAAGAGAGCTCCTTTTTAGATAAAGAGCTACCAGGAGAAACCGAGTGCGTCAATTCATAAGAGACAACTTGTCTTCATATTCTCACTCTGCTCGTTCAAACCTTGAACGACACACAGCATAAATAATTCATGGCCATTTTAAAGGCTTGCACTGCATTACTCAGTGCAATGTGACTGGCTTCATGGGTTCTTTACACTTGACTTCTCACTTACCCCTGCTACTTAGAAAAAAACCACAGGCCCTTTTTCAATCATCAAAAGGGGGTCTTTTGCACACGGATGTCAAAGATTTACCTGCGCCTTCCAGGTGGCAGCACGCCAACCTAGATAGCAAAAGATGGCAATTCTAGATGAGGATGGGTTTGTCTTGTCCAATCTGGTACTATTTGCACATGCATTTTTTATGTTTTCAAAAAAACTTGTGCAAGAATACAATAGCAATAGAAGTGGGATAATTCTCATTATAAGAACAGACAAAAGTTGAATTAGGGTCTATTACCAGTTTGTCTTTCTGCCTTTCACCATGGATTAGAAATCCACTTCTTCCATTGCCCTCCGGGTACGTGACCTTGCAGACGCCAACTCTACTGAGACCGCCTCCTTCTTGCGGCAACCATCCCCCACTGGAGTCATCTCGGGTCATAACCACAGCTTTGACTCGCACAATATAGCTGTCACTGCAATGGTAACAAAACAAAAACAGAACTTTTTGTGAGCATCGCACAGTCTCATCAGAGCATTTTTTTCTTGAGGGCGGTACTTAGACAGCACTGGTCTGTCCTCAACACAAAGTTTCTGCCCAAGATGGAAGTTCACCTCCATGACAGATGGCCTTAACCACTCCAGCCACCAAAGAGATCCATCAAACAGCAAGGAATGAAGCTGTTGGGTTGCCAGATGTCAAAATACAGATCGAACAACCCATGGTCCCTCATACAGCTGGGGACAGGGCCCAAGAGAGGGGGGTGAGTCAGGCAGCACCCCAAGGCCACCACCCACAGGGGATGCACTGGGGCATCAGGTCTCCAAAGTGTTGGGAGAACATGTGGAGCTCAAATAAACCATGAACAAAGTGTTTTAAAGTTTCTGTGATCAAATTAGCTAAGTGGGCTCTGAAAGACGACACTCAAAATTCCTCTGCAACTGGAAAAAAAAAACAACCCACAAGTGTGGCTCCAGTTGGTACCTCAGATGACAGGAGATGGGAATCATCTCAGTTCAGTTAATCAGGACCACATCAAGTCCCTAAAAAGTGCTACACCAGCATTTTAAGGGGCTTTCAAATGAGGCATATGATAACCCACAAGAAGCTATTCTGGAAACACTTGAGATTTGGGGGATAATCCAGGTGCCCATCACAAGGGATCAAGAAAGCCCCCTCAGCAGGAGGCTCCGCTACCCCTGGCTTCCTCCCGTACCCTTTCAACAGGGCAGTTGCTCCAGCATCTGCTGGGGACATCACCAGGGAGAGCATCATCTGGGACCAGGAAGGCCACTACAGGACAAAGCAAAAGCAGTGCACCTTGCATAGACGTGCAACAGACTCCAAGCTGAAATGGGTTGTCCCCACTCCAGAGCTGTTGAAAAATACCCAAATTGGCTTTTCTTCTTTCATGCTGCTGCTGAGTCCTGTCTTGGTGCAACCTGTCATGTTTTAGACATCAATTAACCCAGTGACCGCTCACGAACAGCGTTGATGGCTGTGATGCCCTCACAGGAAGGTGACAATAGCATGGTTAGACGTCAGCCATGCACAACCTCAGCACTGTCGGCTGCAGAGCTGCCTAGACACCCACCAGCACCTGCAAAAGCGCCACAGGGCACTCAGACCTGGGCAAAACTGGGAACCTCAACAGGAGCTAAGAAAAAGGATGCACAATGGAAACTGCCCAGGAGTTGTCCGTTTCCAGACCACAAGGTTTGCTCATCAGGAGGAGGAAGCTCAATGAGAGAGAGGGCTCCAGGGGAGGCCTTTCAAACAACAGGTATCAAATCTTTTAGGGAAAGAAATTCCTCCAGCATCCTGCACAACATGACAACACAACAGGCCTTTTCTATCCAATATTACAAGTAGCAGTAGCTTTCTTCATCCTGCACCAGGTAAAACTGCCTTTTTTTTTCAGACATTATTTTTGCATCACTTTTGTAATCCAAGTGCTAATAATTGAAGCTCGAGTTCTGCTTTCTCTAATATGACCAGATTTTATTTAATACCTAAGAAAGCAGCCTCATGGATACTACTTGAAGGCAGTTTTGAGGACAGACCAAGGGAGGCAGAAAGCATCTTCCGGGCAGAGGTGCCTTGGACCAGCAACTAATCTCTTCAGCAGCTAGAGAGATCTTGCAACACGCACGCTACAGTTTTCCCTTCACAGGCTTTAGAGATACACCAACTTTCTCTCCAGACCTACACAATGGAGGCAGTACAGATGCTTAAGGTTCACCCCTTGCTGCTCTGAAGACTTTGCACTGGTTGCTAAAAGCTTTTCAGCATACTCAGATACATGGTTCATACCACAGCTGACACACGCAAGGCATTCAACCAAGAAACAACATTAAGAATATTTTTGCTCTTGAGTCCTTAAAGCAGCATCCTGCTACAGGAAACAGGGCAAGCATGTCTATAAACAGATCCAGTTAGCTTTTTATTTCCTAATGAAAACCCACTTCTAGATTTTACCAGTGGCAACTTTAATCTCTTGGCTTCCTGATACTCAAAATTAAGAAAAATATTTCAGCTAATTTCCTACTGTGCAAAAATTGAGCTGCTTCCCTCCAAGACAATTTTTATTTTCTTCTCTGTACCTTTCCCACATGGTCTATAAGGATTAGCAATTAACAGATAAAGAAAAACTAAAGCCAACTATGTATTTCTATATAGTTCTCCTGTTCCCCAAGGATCCTTTCTGGACTTATTTTTAACTTCTCACTTCTGGGAAACTCCCATTAAACTTCAAGATCTCTTCTGAAGTTGGAGCTGCTCAACATGACCTTCCTTTCCCATCCTCCTGCAAAAGTCAACCACATAAACTGCTACTTCTTCTTCCACACTTGAAAATTGCCACTGGCAATACAGCTTCCTGTGGGATTTACTATTCACTTTTACGGCAGCAGCCGGAGCCCTCGGCTGTCCCAAAAGTAATGTCATCTTCAGTTACTGTGCTGCAGGAATCGCCCACTTAAAGGAAAACTAAGAAAGCTACTCAGTACTTTGTGATTTCTACCGATTATTTGTGTGTTTCCATCACATATCGGTGATCTCTCCAGGCTCATAACTATGTCTGAATACTAGTGGATGCATACACACTAAATTTAGGTGCCCTGACTACTATCCCTGACCATTATAATCACAATCTGGTGGGGCACCTAGCCACATGATTTTCATTTCATGTCCAGACCCATACTGTGACCTATGGCTCTTACAGCCTCTGCCATCAAGGCCACTGATTTCACCCAAGCAAACATCACATAAACTGCATTTCTCCCATGCTGAAGAGCTACTTCCTTAAATATATCAAGCCAGAAAACCTAGTTTCTATACCCTTAGAACAGCAAGAAGACCTCTGCTCCCCTGTCAGAAGAGGACTTTGTCCAGCAGAAGGGTTCACCTTTGACAAGGTAAGCAGAGCTCTGGCTTCATTAATACAATCCCTTGGCACACTCTCCTTCATGATTAAAAGTCACAGGTGACACTGCACTCCCTTGGAAAGCCCCATCTCCACTCCCACTGGGCTTCAGCCACAGGCACATGTCTCCCAGTGTGCAACCTATGCCAAGGGGCTTTGGAAAGAGACAGAAAAGAAATAAGGAAAGAAGGTGGTTAAGACGTTTTAGGGCTTGACATCTTGGTTTAGTCACTGGACTAGGACTCAAAAGCTGCACACTGAATTTTCAAGGCTATGCATCGCTTCTTTCAGTTTTCTATGTCAAAAACTTGCCTGCTGTTTCCATCCACAAGCCTAGAATAGGCAATGCTTCTTTCCCTCAGTCAGTGTTGATAAAACTTGGGAGGGACTCAAATATTTCAGGTCCCTATAAGGACCTTGCTTCCTTAGTGTAAAAGCTGTTTATTTTCTTTGCTATTTAATTTTATGCGGCTGCACCAAGGCTCTGGCTGGTTGCAAGCATTCATAATCCACAGGAGCGAAGTAGAGATCTGCAAATCCCATGTGCATGACACTGCTGAGACCTTAGTGCACTGAATCAGCGAAACAACCATGTTCAAGTCATCCATCTGCACTTTTATCAGAGCAACTATGCAATTTGACTGTTCCAGCAGAAATGGTTAATGAGGTACGTGAAAATATTTGGTCCAGTCCCATTAATGAGATAGTGATTACCGCCAAGATTAGATAACTGAAGCCTTTCATATAGTTAAAAATGAAACGACTATAAAAAAAAACCCACAGTAGCTTTAGTTCCCCTCATTTTATTGGCTTCTTAAAACTTTAAGACCACTCTAATTGTTGGGTTTATGGCCTACGTGCTACACGTTTCATGCAAACTACCCTTAATTACACTTTTAAATGGAATACTTTGCTATCTTTACCCTACAGATTGTCTTCAACAGCCTTAAAAGCTTGGGAAGAAAAGTATCTGCAGGGATTACCCAGCTGCATGGCAGCCAGCCAGTGTGTTCCAGGGCTGATTCAGGTTGTTTGCCCACCCCACCCTGAGCAAAAAACCATAATGAACTTGGGGAGTAAAGGTAGCACAGAAAGCCACGTGCTGTTTTTATTGGAAGGAAAAGAGAGCCCTTTAAAAATTATAGCTCGTGGGTGTGCATATATATCTATTAAAAAAAATATTTAAAAAAAAAAAAAGGAGTGCGTGCACATGTATCTGAAGGATATTGAGAATTTTCCTAAACAAGAAGTGAATGAATGATTACCTCTGCAACAACTGAACAATGGGTGCGTTACTTATAGATGCACAAATGTTTTGTAAAAGTTAGGCTAAGACATAGATGATGTTTAAGGTGGATAAAAGTGCTTTCTTCCAGCATGCATGAACTACATTATAAAATGCAGCTGACACCAATCAGTGCTCTCCAACATGAACCACATCACTTACAGCAACCACAGCACAGCAAAACCAATGGGGGACAAAGCCCTGAGCCTTGTACACCTGGTGTGGGTTTATGGCTACAATCCTGAATCCAGGACTAAACAGCAAATAGTTCCTTTGTTAGTTAAGGCTTTAATTTTGCCAGTGTCTTTGCAAGAGGAAGGTGAAAATCCACAGCTTCCTTCCACTCTTCTTACCCATCATGCTTCAAATGCAGCAACTGCAAATACCATCTGAGATATCTAAAAATCCCAAGGGGCAAAGAAAAAAAAAAAGTATTTTTTATTTACTACTTTTCTTTCATTTAGCATCTAAATCCCTTCCCAGACACCTTCCATAATTCAACAGTATTTTTCGCTCTAGCCAGACTAGTTGACCAAAAAACTTAGAAACTTCCATGCAAAAGCAGCCATACAGCATTTCAGTGTTTTCCTCCCTTCTCAACTTTGCAGCTTACAAGGCCAGGAGAGATTCAGGTCTCAGAAATAAATCTCATATAATGGGTTTCAAAATTACAGACTAAGGTCTTTAAGACATCAGTGATCCCAGATTTCAGGGAAGAGCCAAAAGGACAGCAAGAGGTTGAGAATGCAACAGCTGCCAAGGTCGGACCGTTCAGCTGAACTGAACTGCAGACACTGGGCACTTAAAGTGGATCCATGCAAATTTAACTTTACGATTACTGGGGCATAACCCGTCTTTGGCTAAGCTGGATGTATTTCATGGTGCTTTTACTCTGCCCTCTGTCCCTGCCCCAGCAACTCCGACAACTGAAGTTAAAGTCATCCCATTCTGCCCAGGTGTTCGCTGCAAATTATATTGCAGAGATCCTCTCCAGAGTTCATCCCACAGCCAGAAAGAATCAGCATTTTGGTGGAAGTTATCAAAAACTGCTGATTTTGGAGCCCCACTTTCTTGACCTGATGTTTGGTTCATGAACTTTCCAGCAAGAATAAAATACCTGCAGATTATAACCAGCATTTTCTTCTTCAAAACCCTAACTTACCTCTTTGTTAGAAAGAAAACTGAGTGCATGGAGCCACAGCAAAATAAAGCTGATATTCTGATACTATTTAGATTTCTAGTAGGTTTGATGATTTTTCATTATGTATCAGCATGAAAAAGCACCACCTGCACCACTCTGGTCAGATCCAATGTTAAAATGTAACCTGTAGAAAACCATGGAAAACCTCCCAAAAGTCTTCCTTGCCTTCACCTGTACATCACACCAGGAACACAGAACCACTGTATCTACAACTCACCTCTAGTATAATAAATTTGAAACCTGTATTTTTCTGTCTTTCAAATCCAGTACTGCCAGAATAAAAAGGCATTTGGAAAATTTTGGTTTCCACCCGGTCAGAGTAAATACAAGAGAGTTCAAGCTCCGCATGTCTTGTTCCAGAGATGCTGGCTGAGTCCTGCAATGTTCCTGTCCTGGGGCACTTCATCTTAAACCAATATTAACCTTACAAGCTCAATTTCAGGACATTTCTCTGTCTCAACAAAAAAACTTTGTTGGCATTTAGCATTTCCTCCCAGCTTCCCTCTGAAAACGGAAAGGAGTTTTCCCTTCCAACTTCCCAATTCATTCCTGGTTGCTGAACAGAGTTTGGCAGCACATGTTCAGCTTGTATGCTGACCATTTCAGGGGCAAAAAGGGGAAAAAAATATTATATTAACTCCAAGGACACTGTTAGCTGCAGCAGCGCAGATGGTAGAGGAGGAAAATCCTGCACTGAAGTGCTCATGCAGAATTTGGAGCCCACCGCTGCTAAGTTTTAAGAAACACACAGTCCTAACCTAATGTCCCATAAAGCATTCCAGAGGAGTAGTTCTGCACAAAGATCACTCAATGCTGGGGGTTTTCCTGCTGGCTGAGTGCTGCTCAAAATCTTGTGGGCAGCAAAAAACCCAACCCAGCAGGGTGATCGCTCCAATGGGACTGTGAGGGTCCTGGACATGGCAGGGATACTCAGAGGCTCAGATGTCTTTGACCCTCAAAAGCTTGTCTTCCCATATGACACATGGCCTCATGCAAGGAACACAGCTCCATGAGGCTGAAGTAAGCCCAGAATACCATCTTTTGACTGCAATTTTTTCATTCCTCTATGCCTTTCTGGGTCTAGAGCAGCCCCAAAGGCAGAATAAAGAAAGAGGGGCCTGGTCCTCCATGGCCAGTGCTTGGGTTTGCTTCCAGCGCTGTAGCCCATCTGAAAATCCTCAGTAGGAAAAGATTAACAGCAGGTTGGTTTGTTTGTTCTTTTAGAAGGAAAAGGACTTCTCAAAAAAACAAAACACCTGCAACAATCCAGCTGCCCGCCTCCACAACTCCCTTAAACACCGAGGCTACGATGAACAAAAGAACCCTTTCACCAAAATGCTTGTTAAACATTTAAGGCTGATTTTATTGAGTTTACAAGAAACAGCTCTATCCTAACTCACTCGAATAGCATTTCATAATCCCATAATTATTTTAGATCCTTTTGGGAAGTACATGAAAAACTAGTTTTCATATATATTTTTATATATATATATATACACACACATATATACATAATAGAGGTACACATAGCTATGTAATTTTTCTTTTATATTCATTTCTTTTATATATAAAATTAAATATAAGATAATATAAAATTATATTTATATTATATATATTTTTCTGGGTTTTGGTGTTTGGTTTGTTTGTTGTTTTGGTTTTTTTTTAAATGACACACAAAAGCATCAGTTTCTGCTGTGAGAGTAACTCTTACAGAACATTTTTACAATGCAATGTCCCAACTAATTTGGCTCCACCAAACTAGGGGACAAGATCACTTTTCTGATGAAGACAGGATCTTGCACAGACTAGGTGGGTTTCTTGGCCAGCATAACCTCTCCTCCTGTGCTAGGCTTGTCTTGTGATCCCCACAAAGTGCTGTACATGTGGGCAAAACCCCAAACCAACCAGTAAGCAGCTTTTCAGGGAAAAAAGTAGGCTTGCAAACATGCTGACAGGCAAGCAAAGATCCACCAACACAGCTCAAGTACACAGATTTTAAAGGCTATTCCCAGAAATTAGCTTACTACACAAACAATATTGAGTTAAAATGAAAGTTTAACTGCATCAGGGGAAGATTAATTTACTACTTGCGGCTCTACTGAAGCATCTATGTAATATATTGTTAAAACTGTGTTAGAGCTACCACAAGCCGCTGCAAAAGTTGTTAGAAAAACACCCCCAAAAGTATTTTTTTTAAAGAGACAGCCACAACACCACCCACTGATGCATGCTAACAACAAAACTCTTAATGAGCAACCATTTAATAAAACTTCTTCAAAAAAATACAGTGAACATCCCTCTTACTGGAGAAAGAATTACTTCAGACCAGCCCCCTCTCAGCTTTGCATGGCAACTGTTTTGTCAGTGATTGCAAGTTAGAGGTTTGCTGTTTATTAAAAAAAAAAAAAAAACCCAAACAAAAAAACCTGCAAAAAACTTTTCTTCAAAACTGTTTAATGGATCAGTTCTGCAATAAATCATTATAGCAGCACATGTAAGTATGTCTTGGAAAGTTGTAAGAAGCAGCAAAATAAAAAAAAACAGTTTAATAAAATAATGAATTTAAATAATTTACCCTGCAGCAGCTCATGAAGCTGGCATTCAGTACAGGCAAGAGTTGCACACTCAAGTCCTTCTATTTTTGTGCAAGGGTACAAAATATTAACAGATTTCAAGAAAAGCTAATTAGTACTATCATTTACTGTAATGAAAAAGGAAGTTGTTATTGCATGACAGATGGTATTTGTTTTATATCGCACGCCAGATAAGCGAAAATTGCAAAAGCTTAGCCATCCAAACAGGTAGTTGCAAGAGGATCTGCATCCTGAATTGATTTCCCACTCCATCCCTCCTAAAAAAAGCCACAACCAAGTTCTACCCCAATGTTTTTTCCAACATATACTGTCCATAAATACTCTGCCACTGTTACCCTGTTATCTAAGGAATGCCAGTAGTAAAACATAACCATCACAGAATCTGTACTGAAGCTTTCTAAGTTTTATCGCCCTCCTTATTTTGTAAAATTAAACTAGAGATTCGATAGCGCTCGCCAAAAATTACAGAGGAATGTAATGGAGAAATCTATTCAATTCACAAGATGATGCTGTTCCACGTGACCCTCTTCCCCATCCAATGAGTTTCTGCTGTCATGCTGTAGACCGCTGTGATGCCCACGACACCAAAGGCGTTAGCCAGAAGAGGTATCCCATTACTCCCATATAACATCATATTTTGCAGATTAAATGCCACCTGTCCTCATGCAGCCATATTACAGGTCGAGTGAAAATAATGCAAGGCATGTTTATCTTCAGCTACAGAATCCATGATACTCCAGGACATAAAAATAAATTATGTATACACATACACCGTATTTCTGAAAAATCTGAAATTTACGAAGAAAAGAAAAAACCCACCAAACCCCTTTGCTCAACTCAAGCAGTTTGCTTTTTCCCCCACTCTCCTCCATTTTGATGAGTGTAGAATGCAACTATATTTATCCCCCTGTAAACATCCTTCATGACACGTACCATACAACTACAAAGGCTAGACAACAATATTTTGCAAACATAAAAAAAAAATTTCTGTGACTCAATTCCAGCTGAATCTCTTTCAGATGAGGGGGCAGGGAATAAGCAAGATAACTACGGTCTAAATCTAAAATGTTTTTATCTTTTCCCATGTAAACGTGTTTAATTCTTAGCCACATCAAAACCAGCACGCACACCGTTCGCCTTCCACCTCACTTTAACCCCCCCAATCCACAAAGTGTCCATATGGAGAGGGACATCAAGTGCAGTAGCTTCCCAGGCAGCATCTATTTTCCTCTCAGTATTTGAGAGGGTGCACATGAAATCATTACTTCTGAAAAAAATGTATATGTAACCATAAAAGAAAGCGCGTGTTTCACAGAAGAAGTCATACATATTCACTGATAAATTATACGCTCATTTAGAAAAGATTCAGAAAGGCTGTGGGGGCAGGTGGAGGAAAAAAAGCAAGAGTAAAAAAAAATATGAAATTATACACCGCGAGAACACACACACACACACATACCTGCTGGGGGATGCCATTTCCTCTACATTTTACACCCCGATTGCTCCATTTTACCGTCATTGCCACTACCAGCCTCCCGACCGGCGCTGGCTGCCCCCCGTCCCAGCTGGCTGCTGCCGAGCAAGCGAGCGGCTTCCCCCCATGCGTGATTCAGTCTCCTTGAGGGATGTGCTGCATTGTACCGCGTGAGTCATCCCAGAGGTATTCTGCATATTACAGCCCTGGCCCGACCATTACTCATTCGCAACATCCTCCCCGCTCTGAGAGCACAAGCACATGCACCGACCAAAGAGCCTTGCTTCCCCACCCCGGTTAGGCTGGGAAAAAAAAAAAAAAAAAAAAAAAAAAAAAAAAAAAAAAATTACGATACAACTGCCATAAACTAATAACGGGGGCGTTCAGCAGCGGCTGACGGAGCAAACGCGCTGCTGAGAGGTTGCAGCAGACCGGCAGGATTGTCACCCGCGCACCCAGGACTACAAACAGGTCCAAAGTTGAAAGCGGGCGTCATCTCCGGTAACCCCGGCTGCACTTTATTCCCCAAAAGCTGCTCACGCAGCGCTGGGACCAACAGTCCAAACAACTCAACAGCCTTCAGGGAAGCACTCAGCCTCCAGACGTGCCTATCTCCATCGCAGCTTTTAACAGGATTTTAAACACTTCCAGTTTTCAACAAGTGGTATTTATAAATATCAGCTATAGGTATACATATAGGTATACTATACCTGTGCAGGCAGCTCACACAACCGAAATGCCAACACAGTAACGTCCCTACGCACGAGCTCCGTTTCAGGCAGCTGGTCTCAAGTGCTCTCTTGCTACTCAGAAACTTTCGTAACAGCTTTAACTCCTCGCTCAGCCACTGTGTCCCCCTCCCAAAGTTATATGATCATCCCTAAATGCCCTCTAATTTTTTAAAGCAGAAATGTTGTTCAAGAGCTGCCTTGGCACCAACGACAAGAATAAAAATTGTGACATTGGGGCTCTGAAAGCAGGTGCTAAAAATACTTCCCCAGTTTCTGAACTAATTTACACTGATGATTAGGCAGGAGTCGGGAAGAAAGCTAATTTAAGTGTTTCCAGGCTCAGCTGATTCTGCCTTCCTTAAATCCAAACTGGTTTAACCTTGATTTTGGGCAAAAATCCCTTCTTCCCAGGATGTAGAACAGCAGCCAAGGTGATGCTGCCTGAAAGCATCCTTTAGGAAAGCTGCATCCCCATTTTACAGACATAATAACCTCAAGTCACACACGCTCTTGAAAACTTCAAGCTTGGACCAGAGAAACACCAAGCTTGAGACCACCGAGGCTTGAACTCAGTTTCAGCACGCAGACACCAGGCTGCAGAGGATGCTGAGGACATCCCGAGTGACATTTGATCATTGCTTCTCTCCAGCATCTAGAGAGGACCTGTGCAGGTGGTAGTTGCAGGTATCTATTCACAGCTTGGCTAGATTTTGTCATGACACTGGAATTAAGCTACAGCCCAAAGCCATGCTGAAGGCCACAGGCAGCATTTTAAGCTTGCTATAGTGGGATGAGGTGAAGCTACGTTTACCCAATTTCAATATACAATATAAAAAGGTCCTTAATTTAACTGTCAAAGGGTACTCTGTTTTGGTAGAAGTGCATTTGCAACCACTGGTTAACTCAATAGCCAGTCAGAGCACTGTGCCATCCAAGTAATTAAAAAAAAAAAAAGTATTTAAAAAAAATTTTAATAGCACATCCACAACTTGTCCTACCCTGATGCGCCAGGATTTGCTGCCTTGCCACCTTCTTCAAGCTCTTCAGCAGCACTGCTTTTACCCTCAAACACTTAACATAGCACCCATCAGCTCTGTCCTCAGCCGTCTCCAGCAAGAAGTCAGCACACAAGTCCAAAGCAATGTCAGCCAGAAAAATTAAAGAAAGATGCTGTCTCTTTTTGCTGCAATTCCAGTTTCTAAAGTTTTTCTCCCACGGGACAGGGGAAGATGAAATGTGCCTCCCAATGTAAGACAAAACTATCTTTGAATAAGTTGTGTTGTAATCTTGTTTCTGAAACAGCAGCTTGAGCTATTACATTTCCCCAAAGCTTCCCTGTTTTCTTGCCTTCCCACTGCTCCACAGACCAGCCCACCACTGGTCCTTTTAGAAACTCAAGGCACCGCACACAGCAGGACTTGGGACTGAGCATCGACATGAGGCAGCTTACGGAGCAGCAGCATTAACACACGATTTCAGCATTACAGGTCAAAAGATGGGTTTACACAGAAAAGCCATCGCGCTGTAAAGCTAACACAATTTTGCAGCTGCTGCAGGGTAGCTCTCAGCTCACATGGCTGGGTTGAGCCATGACCTGGGTATTTTCTGCAGTCTCCTGTTTGCTGGTGTGCTGGAATCAGGGGCAGGTAAGGAGAAATGCTCTGTGTGTGAAAATGCAAGACACAGAAAAACTGTTATAAATGTTACAGCATGCTCAATCCATATGGATGCAAATAAAGCCCTGGCCTTCAGTCTACACCAAATTGTATCCATCAAGAAGAACCACCATCACCTCATTGAGTTGGCTTCAAGCCCTGCTACCAAGGGTTTTCTCTGAAGGGAGGTGGATATCAACTCACCAGGTAATTGTGAGCATCAACCGAATCACTGGTTGGATTCTTGCTTTTGCAAAAGTTCTTTAAACTTAAGGCTAAGCTAGCAAACCTCATCTCCAGGGTTGGCAATGCTGCTGCGCTTTTTAACTATTATTATTTTTCCCCTTAAATACTGCCCTGTCCAGTCTATCTTTGCATGCCCATCCTTACTAGCTTGGTGGTACTGTGAAATATCCTCCAAGGCTTTTGTGCATTTCCTAGCTTGGGACTGATGAGCGGCTGCTCTAACACATGAACATTTTCCCCAGTTTCCAGCGGGATGCACCCTGCCACTGGGTTTTGCTATTTGAAATCTAAAATAAACATTGGAACTGGAGAGCCAACAAGGCAGTGGATCCGCTTTCTGCTGCCTGCCAGCCAACTACAAACACGGTTCAAAGAGCTGAGACTGTGGTTGGAACAAGAGAAGCCCATTTTCACTGTAGCTGCTGAAGTATTTGTGATTAAGACAATGATATTGAGTCACCACGTTAATGCCAGCTGTATTAACGGGCTGAACTTCTACAGCACAGCATGAACACAGTGCACAGGACCAAGCTCTCACAGCTTGTAAACCAGGCAAAAAGACGTTTCAGCGCATAATTTCAGTGCAGCGTAGGCTTCTGAGTTATCTGCAGCCCCAGGCCCATATAGGACACTCTGAAACTTACGTCTCATCACCTGGGAACCTACCTTTGGTATAGCATTCAAGATTTCCTATAGCAATATTGCCTAAACTTTGCCTACTGTATCTTGTGAGGGGTAAAAAAAGGTTGTTTTCCTCCACTTTTGTTTTAATTAAAAAACCCCCCACTAAACAAAAGACCTTCTAGACATGGTCAGCGCAGCTTTTTATCCAGCACTTCACAGACACCCAGTTCATTCATGCTGTCCTTGTTGCCTATAAAGTTTTCTTGAATACAGCATCAATTTGAGTCATATTGTAGGGAAGAGCTCAAAGTATAGCAGAAATAGGAAAAAAAGACAGAAAAGTTGATCCTTAGAAATTACTTTAAACTTGTTATGATGTGCTCGGGGCTGCTGACCATTGAGGAGCAGTGAAATGCTCCTCCCTACATACCATTACCACACTTTCCCTATTTTCCATGAAACTGGAGTAAGGCTCTCCCATCCTGCACACCTCTGCCAGCACAAAAGTAAGGTACTATTAAAGTGTTTTGGGAGTTGAGCAGTCTGCTGGGGGATAGATGGTCCAAAAAATCCCATGCAGGATCAGTTCTGGTCACAGCTCAATTCCGGTCATCACACACCAAGAGAAGCATGGACAGCATGTCAAGGGAGGTGATTCTCCCCCTCTGCTCCACTCTTGTGAGACCCCTCCTGCAATGCTGTGTCCAGCTCTGAGACCCCCAACATAAGAAACACAGGGACATGCTCAAGTAGGTCCAGAGGAGGCCACAACAATGATCACAGGGCTGAAGCACCTCCCCTGTGAGGCCAGACAGAGAGTTGGAGGTGCTCAGCCTGGAGAAGAGAAGGCTCCTGGAAGACCTTATAGTGGGTGGCCTCCCAGTACTGAAAGGGGCTACAGGAAAGGTGGAGAGGGACTCTTTATCAGGGAGTGTAGGGATAGGATGAGGGATCCTGGTTTTAAACTGCAAGAGGGTGGATTTAGATTAGAGAAGGAAGAAATTCACCACTATGAGGTGGTGAGACACTGGAACACGTTGTCCAGAGCAGCTCTGGCTGCCCCCTCCCTGGCAGTGTTCAAGGCCAGGTTGGACAGGACTTTGGGCAACCTGGGCTAGTGGAAGGTGTCCCTGCCCGTGGCAGGGGAGTTGCAACTAGATGATCTTTAAGGTTCCTTCCGACCCAAACCATTCTATGATTCTGCAATGTTTCTGCTTATGCATTTATCAATATAGACTTCACTTGGAAGTTCAGCTTCACTGAGCATGATGCTTTCCTAACACAAATACACCCTGAGTACTCCAGTAAAACTAAGGAAAGGGGAAAGCTGCAGTATTTATTTTTTTTGTAGACATCACTGATCCAAAACAGAAAGGATCCATCCCTTTTCCTTTTTGCAGTTGGCTCTGGACTGTAGGAGCACCTTGCATTAATGCCCAACAGCAATTGCTTTGCAGCTCAGGGCCCAGGCTGGGAGGCCATCATCCCAGCTGGACTAGTGCAGGCTGTCCCTCTGGCACCAGAGCATTACACACAGTACAATCCCAGGCCCTAGTGAAGGCACACCTATTAAAAAAATTAGCGATACTAAATGAACATGGCAAGTTGGAGAAGCATTTCTTTGCCATTTCAAACTGTGCAAACCAAGGCAACTCTGTTGTATGTATCTGTTTAATAAGTCCATCTCCAGGTGACTTAACAGCTTGCAACAACCATTTTTCTTATCTCGGTGTTTTAAAGCTCAGGCCTTGGACAGACATGTCATTCTCATAGATGAATGGACATTTGTACTTAAGGATGACAATAAAAATCGACCCCAGCATAGATGG